TAATCAAAACATCTTTTTTCTGTGAACTACTCTAATATTTCAAACATTACTACAATGAACTCTTCTGTTGCTTCTGTTACTTCTGGTGCTTCTGCTTCTGGTTCTGCCGTTACCTCCTTGTTGGATACCGATTTGAATTCTTTCTTGGAGAATGGCTCTTCTTTGTCCTCTGGTCCTACAACCACAATTACTTCTTCTGGTTCTGGTTCTGGTTCTTCTACAGGTGAAGAGAATAGTGCTACTGATATGTTAGTAGATGCTAATTCGGTTGTGGATGAATCCAACTTGGATGATCTTTTGTTGCCTCTTGCCGCCAATAGTGCAGGTCAAGACGAGCTGTTGGTTGAGGAAAATCTCCTTAAAATGAGAAGAGAGATAACCCAACATTTACAAACCTTTTCGCGCGCCCATGCCGAAGGCAATGAGGTTGCAGCACAATCTGCTATGAGATCCATAGAATTCCTCAAGCAAAATATTAAGTCATTGAGAAAATATCAAGAGATCCTAGGTATTACTAGTCCTCAAATCAGAGAGACTCGTCCTGCTTCTTCTTTCGCTGGGGGGTTTAGCACTCAGTAGAAAAGACTTACCAAAATTTCAGTTGGCTTCGAGCTTAGTCCGTCCCTTCCCTTCTGAAGAGGTTTTCGAGTCTGCCGAGCACTTCCTGAAAACTTTTGAGAAAGTTGTTGCGTCCTCCGGTCGTAATATCGAACTGGTTTGGAAAACTTTGTTTCCCCTCTGTCTTCCCGTTTCTGAGGATGCATGGTACGAGACCAACATGAAGTTGTCCCTATCATGGAGTGAGGCTCGCAAGGTTTTCAAGTACAACCACAGCTCCAAAACCGCTGTACATCAATATACCGATCAAGTATTTACTATGGTCATGAAGTCTGGTGAGCCCTTGGCCGATTATTCCAAGAGGTTTCTTCAAGCAGTATACAATGCCGGTATCCCCAAGGATAACGAGCGTATTGCGGACACGTTTTTGGCTTCTTTTTTGACTTCTGTTCAATCAATAATTAAGTTAGCTATTTTCAATTGCAACAGTAATTCTTGGACGGTAGAGCAAATGACACAAGCAGGAAGAGATGTTTTAGTCGATGATGCTAGTACATACAGTAGGCGGAAAAATGGTCCGGATGTTTTGACAAAAATGACAAGAACACTTATAACTAAAGAACAAATAAAGCAAATGACACAGAACAAAATGTATTTAAAAGAGAAAATTGTCTAGTTTTATTGATATACATTTCAAGAAATATGATTGATTAAAATATACTAAAATCGGAGGTTAAAGGTGTAGTGTACATCCGGACCATTTTTCAGGGTACATCAAAATTTCCTTAGTACTTAGTATAACCACCCTTAGCATCAATTACTGCCTTTATTCTTGCTGGCATAGAGTCAATATATTTTTGGCAATCCTCTTTTGTAAAAGTAGCCCATTGTTCTTCAATTCTTTCCCATAATTCATGGACTCCTTTAGCCTTGGTTGGATAAGCACTAAGCTTTAACTTCAGGTGATGCCAAATGTGTTCTATAGGGTTTAAATCTGGGCTTTGAGGTGGCCAACTATAAGTAGACTCAATATCGAACTTATTATCCGCTAACCATTGCTTTGTAAGCTTTGCGGTATGTTTAGGGTCCTTATCTTGCTGGAAATAAATATGCTGAGGGTCATAGCCATACCACTCAAGGGTATCTTTTAGAGTAGTATTCAAGATATGCACGTAATCTTCCTTTTTCATGGTACCATCCGTAATCTGACAGGCATAACCAGGACCATCATAGGTTATACAACCCCACATCATTACACTACCATTACCTCCTTTAACATTTAAGTCCAAATGATGAAAGGACAATTTGTCATCAGGACGCTTCCAATAGTATTTGACACTGTCAGACTCCCCAAACGTTGATTTTTGTTTCATCAGAGAAAACCATACGCCTCCAGTCATCCTTAGTCCAATATTGGTGAGCTTTGGCCCACGCTAAACGCTTCTTTTTATGCTCAGGCTTCAAAAAAGACTTCTTCTTCTTTATAGCTGCTTCAAAATTCATGGACTTCATAATCTTGAGACATGATGAATAGCCTAAATCATAACCAGTAGACACCAAATAACGATGAACATCCTTGGCAGTTCTTAACTCACCTGTTACTAACTTCTTTCTAATATAAGAACGGCTAGTTGCACCTACAACCATCTTCCTACCACTAGATGAAGCTTCTCGATCAGGGAAAAACCTTTTCTTATAGTTATAAATCGTATTTTTTTGACGCCCGGTATACGTTTCATAATTTCCGAGTATGGGCAACATGATTGCAATAAAAACTCGTTGTTATTTTGCTTATCTTGTGGAAGTGAGCGAACATTAATAATATAATAGCACAATGGTAAGTGTAATATATGTGTAGTAACAAATATCAAATATAAAGAATCAGTCTCTTTTATATTATTAAATTAGGTTGCTGATTAATCATTATTCTTAATTATAGTTGATAATCGACAAATTACAACTAATTGTTAGTACTCAATCAGTTAATTTATTTTTAATAAACCTAACAAAACGAACAGATGTACACGTTGATTACAGGCTCTGATATAAAGCAAATTTAGCCCATTCAAATATGTTACTTTTATTTGGAATTACAGCACATTATTTTCTTTTTCGAATGCAGTTTTTCTTACATACTTTGCTTTATTTGTTCTAAATCTATAAGTGTATTTATCATTTATCGCAAAAAATTCGTTCCGTTTTCCTGCCTACTGTATTAGGTGATTATTGACTATTAGTTATACTATATAAAAGCCGAAAAAAGAGAATGAATACAAATATAACCTAGCTGATGTGCGCACAAATTCCTGCGAAAAACATATGGACGAGAAGTTAAAGATTGATAATAATCGTATGAGCTTTATTTAGAACACAATAAGAAGAAGTTGTATTTTTAAGTTTTATGCTACAAAAACAAATATACACTATTCATATATTGAACTAAGAACTATAGTTAGTTTATATGTCATTATCCTATTTAAATAATTTAAGCTGCAGTTCTGAACTATAATGTAAACATGTTCGTAAGTCGCTGTACATAGTTGACAATAACCATAAACACGTAAACAAAATAGGTATTTCCTTATTATGAATAGAAAAACCAAAGAACAATTACTTCCTTCCTGATCCGCTAGTCAATAATGTAAGAATAGTTGAAATATGACTATCCAAAAAATAAGCCCATCATACTTTATCATCAATAGATTAATTTTTAAATGATGTTTTTAAGTTTTTGAGTACTATGTTATGTTATCATGGGTGATTTTGTCAACTTTCGTTAGAATAGCCTCTTCACCACTGCTTGGCAAAATAATGTGAGAGTTTTAGTGAGGAAGCGCAGACTTTTTTTTTCTGTGGCTGTTGTCGGACCCTAAAAGAACGTAGACATTACCAAAAATGAGGCTTCAGACCTATGCCCACGAAATGACCTATGCCAATTTTCGTGCATAAAAAATAGATATACTAAATAAATCGTTACGACTGTATCTAAAGCCTACTATAATGTAGATATCTACAGTGAATTAATTATGCCGACTTTTGAGATTTCTATGATTTAATTAAAAAATTAACTAACATAAATGATAGCTGAAGAAGCTTTGTACGACCACTTTCGTGTCACCTCTACTGCTTTTTCCTCCAGATACATTACATTAAAACACTAACAAAACTAACATGAAGCAGCGATTATTGTCTAAACTCACTGGTTAAATCAACCTTCTTCACTATTGGGACTTAACGTAAGTTTAATCGCTCTCAAGATGACGAATCAATGATGAAATTACGACTTTTACCCACTTTTATTTTATGAATACAGCGTTTATTAGCTTGATCCTTTATATTATTAGTATAGTAAATGAGCATCATTTATATTATTTTATGGGTCATTTATTTAAATTCAACGCTTCTTTATTTGTTGTGTTTATAATATATTTCATGCCTCTCTGTAATTCAGATGGAAATAGAGCTTAATTTATTCCCAAAAACGTTTTTATATTATTTAAAATTATGCCTTTATTATTTCCTTTTTGGCTTAAAGAAGTATACATTGTATATATATAATGGTGTATATAGTAGAAATACATATAAAAAAATAGGCGTAGAAAATATGTATGTAAAAAAGAATACAGAGATAGAGTAGAGATCAGAATAATGTGTAAGAGACTTGCCAGTATCATTTAGCCCACTTTTCACTCGGAATGAGAATAATATTCATTATAGTGCTAAATAGAAAGATGAAAATTAGTAAATCAGAAAGAAAATAGTATAAATCTCTTTTAATATATCATAAATCAAAGCCAACTTTTACAATGAGTCAGTAGTCAGGGTACAGCAGCTTCCAGTTATTTAAGTGAACAGTATCAGTTAATGGTCTTACAGAATAAAGCATATTTATTAAAAAGTTTTTTTTTAATTGAATATTTAGCAAATAGATAAACAGTAAAAAGACTATATTTATTTTCACTTGCACGCTAAAAGACTAGAGTTAAATCGATATCAGGCATTCTTTCTACGAAAATATTATTTACCTTTACCCATCAAACAACGTAAATTAATAAAAAGATCTACTACTAGCTCAATAGGGAAACCATGTTAGTGTAAAGAAAGATTGTAGATATCAAGGATAAAAAAATATTAAAAGTTAAAGAACAATATAAGCAAGAACTACTAACAAATATTAATCTTTATTTGGAATAATATAAAAGTAGATAATAAACAATATTTTGATATTTACTTGGTGGATTGTGTTATAAAAGAGAAAAAAAAGGAAAATATCAACAAAAATCTTTTTTTCAAAAACGTAAATATGAAATACATTGAATATGATCAGTCGTGTTTCAATACTCTAAGGGTTACTTGTTCTATTAAGGCTATCATATCGCTATGATTTTCTATTACTAATTACAATACTATTTTTCTTTGAAAGATATATAAAATAAATAACTTTATGAATTATACTATTTAATATGTGTCTATTTTGATCTTGGTTACTACTGTTATATTTTTAAGGTTATTCAACGGTTGCATTTTAAATAAAATGAAGGTTAAATCTACAAAAGCTAATTACAATAAACAATGTATTCATATATGAGTAGCTTTGTACACAATTTCTGATATACTTTTTCTTCTACTATTATTTTATATCAATTACAAGCACAATTTCAAATAACTAATGAACACTAAAACATCTAATAATAACATGGTTAACTCCTCTAATGCCAAAAAAAGAATTTAAATATCTGAAGACAGGTTAGGGCGTAATAAGAGAACAACTCATGTTAGCATCCTTGTTCCCTCAAATAATGATAGTAGTAGTACACGCAGTGATAGAGTATCTGAAAAAGATGCGACTGTTCAGTATCAATTAGAGAAACAGATAAGAATTGAAGCAGTTTTGAATAGGCAGGATCAGCTTATCCAACAACTTAGTAATAAAATCGACATGCTGACTGATACTGTTAATATATCTGAGAACGAAACTTGGCGAGGATGGGTCAATCCGCAAACAAACTAGCTCTAGAGGATCTTCCTGAAAATGTTAAGGCTTTTGGTGTAAATAGATGTTATAATTACTTACAGCCTTAAAAAAAAATTACTTACAATTATTACCTATAATATATAATAGACAATCATCAGACAAGAACTTGAGGAGCTGCCACAAAATGGGCACTTTGACTATAATACTACCTATAAGGACCATGCAAACAAAAGCACGAGGGATAGTTTATTTGCTTACGGCAAAATTTATAATGGCCAGTACTCTATTTCAGACAGTCGTTTGAAAAGAATTCTTTCAGAAATGTTCTATAATAAGAAGAAAGAATTAAAACTATCTATAGACAAAAAGGAGATTAGAAAAATTAAAAGTGCAGTCAAAAGTAGCAAAGCAGCCGTAAATGTTAGACAAATACTTGATAGCTGTATACTTCTTATGTTTAACATATAATAATATATAATGTTGTTGTTATCATATTTAAATACAGAAACTCGCTCAGTGTAAAAAATGATCAGAGAACATGAAGATGTATATAATGGGAGAATTATGAAGGACTTGACAGATTAATTATTCCATCTTGGATATCAGATGAAGAAGAAATTGTTGATAACGACGTTGATGGTAATTTAATTTTTAAGGTACTACGTCCTTCCTTTAGAATTCAAATGGTATTATTAATACTATAGAGATTAAATAACACTAATACATTGAATACTTATTATTTCGTGAAGTTTAATGAATATAATGGACAATCTTGACTATAAATGAAACTATCCTGAAGATCCTAGTAAAAAATTGAAAAGAAAGGGCAAGTTAGTTAGAAATAGCTCTATTCTTACAGAAGCATTATTTCCAAGTTATTTAGATAAAGAAGACTTTCATGATTGGGCTTTTAGTACATAATTTCTTTAGCCTTTTTTTGTTTATATTTTATATATAATATTATATACACTTGAAGCATTAAATAAAAATACTGATAGTATACTGTAAAAATATTTATAATTGTATTTAATAGAATTTATTAATAAAGTATTATATATATTACGTATAAATATCTATAGCTCAATAGTTCTTTTAAGTAACGGAACAGCTAAAATAAATCGTTAATACAATCTGCTACAGCAACACAAGTGTATATTTGTTGAACTGGTAATATTGATGATAATGAGCTAATAGATTCAAAATTATTTCTCCAAACTTCAATGTTGTGTGCTGAAAAAGATTCAAGCTCTTTTTCTGAAGCTTCATACCATCCAACAAACGCGAAAACATGTTGTTTTGCATCTTGATCACAAAATAATTCTATTCCAGGGAATTTTAATTCATGCTAAAAAAATATAAAATCCTTCCTATACGAAATACACCATCTTTAGCTGGACTCTTTGCTTGTACATACGATCCACGTTTATTTCTGCAATCCATAGAAGTAAATTGTTGACCTAAAAGATTGATTTGATCGAATTTTGTATTAGATCTGTTACAATAACACTAGTGGATATATTGCCAGCAGAGGAGAAGAAAGAGCAGAAACATTTATCACCTGAAATTTTTGACCATAACATGTCTTATAGAATGATGAAGGTAATTGTAATGTTGTCTGTCCATAATTATCGATTTTTTCAACTTTAAAGGAAAGCAAGTAGGAGGCAAAGGTTCACAACCAGTCAAGTTGGCGCTTTCACAGCGGTATTCAAAAGAAAACTTGCTATATCAAAAGTTGCAATAGGAGAATCTTGATGATATTGTTGCTGCTCATGATTATTATATACGATATCCATTGCATCTTGGTTTTCATAATCAAAATTAAAATCATGACCATTGGAAGCAAAAGCATCAGTACATTCATCATCATAGGATTCTGCTTGATTTCTTTAGGCAACAGGTTGAAATAGTCAGCATGTGAGCTTGCTGAAGGTATTTCTCCATGTAGGTAAATTCAAGTCCTTCTTTAGAGTTTGTTGCTATTCCTTTGATATCTCCGTTGGCTCTTTCAAAGCTATATAGCCAGGTTGAATACATTGGCCCGAAGTCACGAATCGTTTGGCATAAATGTAAATGTAAATGCATATTGGGAGTAATGAAATTGGCACCATACAATTTTACAGTGGACTTCACAAATTCTACGAGTAAGTGATGGGCATCATTGATTTCATTCAAAGTAATTGAAGGAGAGGAGAGTAATTGATTTGCTTTGACGAATCGTAGCCAATTAGCCATGTGTTCACCTACTATTCTTCCTTTCAAAAGCAACGACGAGTACACCAACGTCCAGGAACGGAATTCATCACCTTTCAATTGAAAAACCAGAAGAAATCTTGGCATCTAATGTTGAGAACTGTGGAGGTGCGATAAGATTTTTGGCCTGTTGTGTTATTTCGGTTAGATCTTTACTGGTTAAAAAGGTGTTTGTAGAATTTGTATCTTTTTGTGATTTCCAGTTATTGATCATTTTTTTTTGCTGTCCCAAGATAAAGGTCGTGCAAACCATCAACAGTAGTACAACGAACAAGATCTAAGTAATGCAGCCTATGTAGTTCACTCCATCTTACAACGTGTTGATAAGATGGAGGTAAAAAAGAAGACAGAATGAATAAATCTGTGAACACTTTGTAGAAAGCTCTTATCACTATGGCGAAAATTATGGTAAATGAAGAAAAATTGGCAGCTTTTCTACCGATTTTTTTTGAACCAGCCAACCACATTTAAGGAAGGGTGCATCCCAGATGGCTAGCAATGTTGAGATGTTTTTTAAATCCCTAGAATTAAGCCTAGAAGCAACTAGGTGAATAGTAAAAGGTATATAAATTATTTTTATATGTTTGGGTGTCTTTTTATTCCCTTCATTTAAGCCATGAACTTCATTTTAGAATTATGATTTTTAATTTTTTACGAAAAAAAAATGGTAACAGCTACCAAATTGGTATTTTAGCTACCATATTTCAGCGCTTGAATTTCTGTCAGAGCTAAAACGGGCTTCTAATTTTTTAATTGAATTTTTTTTTTCTTTTCAACAAACAAGCTTTGAGCTGATTTTTTTTATTTTATTTGGAGCTTAATGGTTTAAATTAAAGAAATGTTACCAACTGTTTTGCGAAGATTAGTATCGAAAACAAAGTACGGGGATATAACATAAAACTGGTTATCGACTCCAGGGTATTGTACAAGACCAGCTTGCCTATCGATGTCATAAACACTGATAACAGCGTATTTTGGGTATATAATAGAAGTATTGCCAGTTTGTTCTTCTATTGGCTTGCTTTGCTTTACTAGAGGGACAGATGAGTCATGCGAAGCTGTGGTATGTTGACTCATGACTTCAATGAACGCGAGAAATTGTACATTCGATTGTGGAAGCTCATGCTTGAAATAGAATAGAACAGAACCAACAAACCAACGTTTCCTTCTTCTAAAATAATATGTTCGGTAAATAAGAATTTATAATTGTTTTAGTTTTTTTTTAAACTTACGCGTTATCTAAACATGAAAACATAATGTACTGATTCCCTCTACTGGTTTCTTTTTTTAATCGCCTGTACATACAAGATGAATATACAGTTGAAGAAGCCAAAAGGCGGGATGCAAGAGTTATAGAAGTGCTGGGTATATTAATGGGGAGTCTTTGATTATTTAAGCGAGTATAGAATCTCTTTATACACTAGGTGAAAAAACTGGTGCATAAAAATAATTTTTTTAATTTTTTGACTATATCTCTATGAGAATGCATAGTACATATATGAAAATAGGCTAAATATTAGCTATAAAGAGCTCATATATGTTTGTGAAATTTAAACAAGATTGGTCAATTTTAATTGGACAAAATATACATTAGAAGCTTTATTACG